GACCAATTTTCTTTAAAGGACTGGAAAGAAGTAACGGACTTTAATACTGTTTACCTTGGGTACAGTGATTAAAGTGACTGATTTTCTTCTTCATAACTTGCTATATTTTTAAAATTTTCTACAATTAACATAAAACATATGGTTTTAATACTATATATGCTTATAATTTTATTGTACCTGTTTAAAAGCTTTGGCTTTTTTAAGTTCTTTCTCTGATCTGTCAATGAAAAGGTTTAGTCCATTTATTTCATGCATAAGGGACTGCTTTTCATCACAGTTTTTACTGTTTGACTTCTTGATAAAATAAAGATCATTCTGTAAAAAGAAAAAAGTATATAAATGTATTTTTTAAATAACACGTATATTAAGTACATACTATATTAAACATATCTTACATTAAATCATATACTCAAATATTTATAATAAGCAGATGTTTTAATCTCTCTCTTCACACTATGTCTCCAATATAATGTACATGGATATTCACACAGAAACATTTTAATTTTTATCATCTATTGATATTTTGGGTTTAGTATGAGTTCAGTAATTCTAGGAAACATTATGTATGGTTCCAGTTCAACCTAATGAATTACAGCTGTCCCTCAGTATTCTTGGGAAATTGGTTCCAGGAAAGTCCCCAACCCCCCACACATATACACACACCAAACTCCATGGATGCTTAATTCCCTTATACAAAACAGCATAGTATTTACATATAACCTATGCATATCCTCCTGTATGCTTTAAATCATCTCTAGATTACTTATAATACCAATACGATGTAAATGCTGTGTAAATAGTTGTTATGCTGTATTGTTTATGGAATAATGGCAAGAAAAAAGTCTATATATGTTCAGTACAAATGCAACCATCCATTTTTTTTCCTTTTTCTTTTTTCCTTTTTTCTGTTTTTTTTTTCTCCATCCATTTCTTTTTCTGAATATTATCAATCCTCATTTGGTTGAATTCGCAAATGCATAACCAGTGGATACAGAGGGCTGACTGTATTAGGTGACTGCCATTTATGAGGAGAAGGAAGCACACACTCTAGGTCATTACGTGGTTCATCACTTCCATTCAAGAGTTTATTGTTTGATTCTATTCAAATCCTAGACAGTAAAAACATCAATATTCTGAGAAAGCATATGGTCCTGGTTAACAGTACGAGCTCTAGAAATAGATGGCCTTAATTACATATTAGCCATCTGACCCAGGTATGATCTACTCTTCCCAGTTTCCTCATCTCT